ATTACTATACTGATACCACAGAATTCCACTATAATTTATCAAGCTTAGTAACTAAGCTGTATTTCACTCTAAAAAAAAATTTAATTTCGAGCAGAATAAAGACACAATCTACCTACTTGAAATCTTGGTTTGAAAGAAAGAGGTGGCATCCTAAAAATTTAAAATGGCTAAGAAAGCCACTAGGGGGACATTCTGTGATTTCAATTGATTATTCATGTCATTTATAGAAGTATATATAAGGAAGCGTTTCCAAAAATGGAAAGAGGTGGGTGGGGTGCCACTATGTTTGATTCATTACATGAGCAATATCTTACCAAATAGAAAGAGGTTCTTATTTTATATTCTAGCTTGTCAACATACCACGTGACACAAAAACTGATGTTTATCTGTTTTTTAATATTTACTTTTAAATTAAGAAATTGAGTAATGTATAGTACTAAAATTTGAATTATAATCTACAGTTTGATACCAAAGTTATTGATATAAATTCATGAAACAGTAGTTCAATAAAATTTTGAATGCGAGTCAACAAATGTGATGACACGGCCTTTCACCCGTGACCCGTATGGAAAGGGTTAGAGGATAGAAGAAAAAAATTCCATGCCTTTAATTATGACAAGGATAATCACACTGGTTTATATGTTCCTTGAAACTCCTATGTTGATCCTTCTCAAAAATTAGGCATCATAAAAACTACGTATCATTCTATCAAGACTATCTATTCCAGTAATGAATATTTTCAAACAGATCTCAAAATATTGAAAATAGTATTAGTAACCCAAAATGTTTTTCCTATGGAATTCATTAACAAAGTCTTCTCTAAACTAAATAAAAAATCTGAAGTCTCAGCACAAGTCAAGTAATGATGAACATTCTATTTATTGCACAATTTCTTTTATCCCAAAAGCATCACATTCAATCAGAAAGTCTTCAGAAAACTGCTCAAAAATCTCTAACTTATCTGAGCAATGTGTGTTTCCTCCTAGCAGAGAATTAGGGCAAGTTCTATCAAAAAAATAAAAGTATCAAATAAATTGTGAAAAAACAAGTGATAAGTTTTACAATAGAGAAACCCAGACAAATTCTTACCCATGTTAAAGAACATAAACTCCCCTCCAATGTTTAAGAACATATGTCCCAGCATGATATTGAAATATTCAATAGAGAAAAAAATTAAACCTGCTACAAAATAAAGTCTCATTAATTAAACATTTTGAATCTAAAATTAATACATATTCCGGTACATAGTTGTATCATTTTCTAACCCATTTCAAACTTTTAAGGTTATATTGCTGTATACATATATTTTTAAGGTGACTTTATAACATAATACAATCAGACTCTATTAATCTATCAAAGTAACCTAACACAGATTTATGTTTTGCACATGTATGGTACTCTGCAAGAAATTTAAAATTGTTTTATCATACATTTTTTTAAAAATTATAAGGATATTAACATTCTTCAACTTTTTGCTGTTTCAAATTAACATTGACCTTTAATTTAGGTCAAGCACATCTACCAACTATACTCATCCCAATAGCCAAACATACAATTATGCATATTACTGTTACTATAGATATCAGGTGTCACTTCAAACGCTACTGAGTTGTGATTCATCGGATATAATGTTATTTTTGTTTTCACTTCCCTCTATTTCACTTTTATTCATTTGATTATTTATTTGCCTGTCATTCACATCCAAGATTAACAGGCTAGCTATTAAGTTCAATCAACCAAATACTTACGTATCGTATCGATCTACTAGTTTTTCTTGTTAGCTAGAGTATGAGTTCACTCATTGTAGTTGTACCTGATGAAGCCAAGTTAACCTAGTGAAACTTTGTAAACAAATTTTTCAGGACAAAAGAAGCTATCTACATCCACCTAACTAAAAACATACTTAGCCAATCTAGCACAAACATCATTAAAACTTAGATATAAATCTTGAAAGCATTCAGATAAGTTAGTTGATAAAAGTCCTAGTGGGGTAGACCCCACACAGGTGAACAGTACAAGGAAGACCCAGGATTGAATACTGGTCACAACTTCCCTGAAGATGGCAGCAGGTTAACAGGTGAAACATAGGATAAAAACTGGACAGTAATTAGTATCTAGTATTAAAAAAATAGTAACCACCTGATAACTAGACTACTACCCATGACAACAACCTTGCACATGTTTCTCAATTGCAACTTACCAGACATTTTTTCCAGCTCCTTCTTTATATCCAAATCATCACAGTCTGAATCATAAAATTTCCTCATCTTCATTTCTGTTGTCATATTATTTAAATTAATTTGAATATCCGTTTTAAAATTTTTATTTGTATGAAAATCACTTTCACTCGAAGAACTACTTGTGCATTTTCTTTTAACTTTGTTAGTTCTTTGTTTGTCAGGTAAACATTGTAGATTAATAGAATTGTTTTCATTAACAATCACTTCACATTCTTTTAAATTTTCAGAACTTAAACTGTTGGCATTCGAGTTAATATTAGCTGAGAATTTTTTTTTTTTCCTACAGAAGCCAACTTCTGAAAGGTTTTTCCGTTTGGTTTTAAGTTTATCTGATGATGCAGCTGTACAAGAATTTGTTTCTGTTTTTTCATTTAACAAGGCCACTCTTTCATGAAGGTCAGGCATGTAATTTTCAATTTTTCTTTCATTTATAGCTAGATCTTCAACTGCACAAGTATTAGTGATCTGTTCTTCCTCTACAGCGGCATTATTTGAATCAAGAACATTAGCTTTTAAAGTCTGGCCATTTATTTCAACAGTGTTGTTACAGTCTGGATTACTCTCATGGTGTATCTGTCCATACAGGATTACTTCTACGTCACTGTCAATACAGTCTTCATCATAACTTTTACTAATATCAGATATTCTATCATCGTACCAGCAACCCTCTTCATTGAGTGAATCCCACATTTTTATTTTTGTTCTTCTTGACAAAATTAATGTGGAGAAATGGCATTATCCATGTTTATCACTACCTATAAAAGAATAAATCAAATCAGATTGTATGTTAAACACTAAACTGATAATATATACAAGAACTACACACCAAAACATGAAAAACATTATATAGTATGCATCATCATCATCGTGCAAAATTGTATACATTACAATACTTATACACATAGGCAATATTATGGGGAGGGGGCAAGGGGAACAGTTGTCCCCCAAACACTTGTTTTTTTCTGTGGGATATAATATACACATGAGATTCACAATACTTAAGTCAGTCTTTATTTGCCACCCCTCCCTATTTTGGTCCCAAATTCCACCCATACCTGTAATAATAACTTGTTTAAGTTTACAACTAAATTCTACATTAACCCTTTCACTGCAGCTGGGGCATATATTTCCCACTGCACTGGGAAATATATGTTCCAGCTGCAACGAATTGGTTAAAACTTATACTAGACAAAAAGTGATTATTATACATTACATTTAACAATCTTACAATCCCTTTACAATCTTAAACTCCTCAATCAGATCCCTCCTTACTCTTCTTTTTTTCCTCTTATGACAACCCCTCCATCCCAGGCACCATTCTCTAAACCCTTTAGAACAATTCAATGTCTTTCCTAAGGTAAGGAGCCCAAGACGGAACACAATATTCCAAATGTGGCCTAACCAGTGATCTGTACAATTAAAGTATATCCTCTTTAGACTTGTATTCAATATTTCTATAGATACAACCTAAAATCCTATTTTCCCTACCACTAGCAACAGCAACTACTTGGATGCTTTAGAGACTGACTGACTATTACACCAAGCTCCCTTTCCTTCATAACACTATTAAGATTATTCCCATCCAAATTATGATAACCCACATGCATTGTCTTGCATTTATTATAATTAAAACCCATCTGCTATTTATTTGCCCAACTCACTAAATGATCTAAATCCTTTTGTAAAGCAACAGCATCCTCATCACAGCTAGCAACACCCAAGACCTTATAGCATCTGCAAATTTACATAACTTGTTGACTATCCCTTCTACATGTCATTGATGAAAATCAAAAAGAGCAGAAGTTCTAAGACTGAGCCCCGAGGTACCCCACTTGTGACATTAATCCAGTTTGACTGAACTCCATTTGTAACAACCCTCTGCTTTCTTCCATCCAGCCACTTTGCTAACTTATCCTCCACACCTATAGAGCTAATTTTCTTTACAAGCCTTTTATGTGGCACCTTGTCAAATGCTTTTATAAATATTCGTACCTAATAATCTACCCTATTCAATATAGCTTGCTGAAGATAGAATATGTATATTCCAAAATGTTGAAGAATTAAATGTTTGTTACTATACATGTGTCAAATGTTTATTGTTGCTATCATCATTTTGTGGATTTCAACTGACACAAAAAGACTGCATGGAGTTTGGTTGTGAGGTTGCCATAGGTTGAGGTGCAACAACTGAACTTTTAAGTTGTAGAAAACATGGATGTTAAAGAATGAACTTCCTGTAGCGTGCAACATGCAATCACCATATTCTAAGTTCTATAAATGTTTCAAAAAGACTTGCAACACTAAATATGACTAGGAAGAGCATATTTCTATTTTTTATTACTTGAATAAATCATTGTTTCTTTGTCTTTATCACTTCATTAGGTTATTCTATTGGATAATCTGTAAATGCCATAAACTGATAAAGTGATATACTACATTCCTACAATGTAGTATTTAAGTAATCCCTTTCACTTTCAGCCTTAACAATAATTTATATAAACTTTATAACTTAAACTCCAGTATATAAAATACTCTTTCTCTTTACACTTGTAATCCATTAGAATATTCTTCTTTACTAAAATACAAAATTTTTCAAAGGAATAAATGACTTTTCACTGTCTAAGAACTTTTTTGTAAATTACTCACCCAATCTTCCCAACTTTTTCACAATATCTTGTAGTTGTTGATTTTTATCATTAAAATTCTAAATCTAATGTTATTGTTCAAAAATATGAATTAGTAATCAACTTATTGAACATAAAATAAGACATAACTCTCTCAACCTTACTAACCCTAAAAGTCTAATAAAATTAAACACACATTTCTAACCTCCTCAGCACTAAGACTAAGAATACTACATTAATACTGAATATATTACTAGATTACCTGCTAATGATAGCTTTACTCATCTAATATATTACGTAAAATCTTCAACGTGGCTTATTTTTCAGTATACATTCATAGTATTAGTATGTCAATATCTTACATTACTAACGCTAACAATAATATCACGCTAGTTAAAAATCGTAGAAGTTGAGCACGTGGCGAGAAAGGTTGAACATTGTGCTTAAGCCTACATATCATAATAAATAACATATTTTCACTTCAACAGTTCAAGTAGTAGTAAATAAAATTGTATGCAAGGTCCTAATTTGTGTTACCATAACGAAGAAACAATTAATATAAAAAATAGAATTTTAACTGTTTCACTTACTCGGGCCATGATTTATTTTTAAGTTACATTTCAATCGAATATGTTTAGTTTGTAATTACGCCACTCCAAAATTCGAACTCTTTACCCCAATGACTATAAAGTATGAGTTTAAAAAATGCAGTCATTATATTAGCAGTGTCGTCTGTCTTAACCGTTAACGTACAGAACGTAATGAATCGTGTAATACTAAGTGAATTATTTAAGCCTTTATTGCTTAATAATTAAAAGTAAAACGACATTAATTAAAACTAAACATATTTACCTTTGTTATGTATGTTAGAAACCATTACATTACAAAACACCATAATTTACGACCGTTGTGAAACTTGAAGTTATGAGTTTATGTTATGCACTGTTGGCGAAGGTAACTTGGCACATGGATGAAAATAAGAGAAGTGATAAATATAAATCACAAATACTCAACAAAACAGTTAGCATGATCAGTTTTAAGTCTAAAATGTATTTCAATCAAAAGTTACAAGTTGAATATGTACTACATTATTATTACTATATATTTAGCGCTAGAATCAGCAAAGCTACATACTAAACTCAAAACTAATCGCAAGTTATTGCTGGTAAAGCACATATATGATGTAATACAAATATTATTAATATAAGGAAGATGTCAGAGCATGAAATTATTACCAGTGAGGCTCTATGTTTAAAATTTCGTAAAACGAAATTTATATCTTGAAAATATCATGATAGAACAATCGTCAATAATATTTTAAATATTATTAAATTAAAAAGTGCACAGTAAATGGTATACGAATTCACATTTTATAATAAAATTTCATGTTAGCTATTTGTTTGTTTATTTTAATACAAGTATTTTAAAAACAAGTACCACGTTTTGATCACTGGTGCCATCATTCTGAAGTTTTTAAAAAATGTTATAAAAATATTTTTCCCTACTGTAAAAGCTATAACTTGTAATAAAGTAATACTTAAAATCAGCAAGTAAACTCAAACGAAACTGTATATTTGGATTAGTACAAAAACCACATCGGGCTATCTGCTGTGTTCACCAAGAGGAAATGCCCCAGTGTTGGATATAGAAGACTGTTTAGTTTAAGAGTTATTATTTACTTTATTTAGTGATGTAATACTTAATGATTATTTAGTTTTCATCACAAATGTTAAAAGCTAATTATTTTAAAAGTGATAGTTGTGACAAATTTCGTTATGTAACTCGGTAGGATTCGTACATTGTGTATGCAGTTTAATTGTTGTACTAGGCTTTTGTAATATTGGTGACGTCATCTTACTCGAAGCTGTTGTTGTTTGTTATTAAGCATAAAGCTACGCAAAGGGCTATCTGTGATCTGCCCACCACGGGTATCAAAATCCGGTTTCTATTAGTATAAGTACATAGACATGCCTCTGCACCACTGGGAGGCTACACAAAACTTTTAAGTTTTCTCCTTGTGTATAATATTGTTGTCACTAGAAGGCTAGATATTTCTAGGTTTTTCTGTTGCATGTTATAAATACCCGCAGATACAAAGAGGAAGCGAAGAAATTAAGAATGCTAATAAGACAGATCTAGACTGAATGATTGGCAGTTTAATTGTGATGGACAATTTCTAAAGAAATTAAGTTAAAGTCAGAAAATGTTAAGTTAGTGAAAATAACTGTGTGATTGTTAGTTTAGCCATAACAAGCAATATTTAAAGTGAGTTTAACAGTTCAACAGAGAAATAGTAGAATAATTTGTCTTGTCAAAGGGCATTCTGATATAATATAACTCGCCTGTGTGGACTTTTGGAACAAAAAATAATTATTTAAAGCTTTAGATACAATTTTTATATGTATATCTGATTTCTTTTGAATATATATTGTTACGTACCTGCTTGTTTGCTAATTTTTGGTAGAAATTTTTTCCGAGGAACTTCAACGGTACAAGTCGATTCTTGATTAAACCAGTTTATTCTTTCTCGATACAAACTTTTAACACACAGTAATTCCACAGTCAATACGTCTCTCGTCACTTTAAGCTTAACAACTTTTATAATACACACTATAAATTACAGTGATTCACACACTTTACTTACCTTCGCTACTGTTCGCTTCTTTAATTATATATCTCTATATCTATCTATATTGCTGGCTTTCTTTGCCAGGCTTATATACTAAAAAAGAGGGCGTCTACCATACACTCAGACATTCGTGGGGTTCCTCTATAATTCGAGAAACTCCAGTGCACATGCTCCCAGTGTCACGTGACTTTTGCTTTCATAACAATATTTTAGAAGAATTGGATTGTGTGCTGTCCATTTGTTGTTGACATTTATTGCCAACAAGTCACAGGCACCTACTCTTTCTACAATCAGTGACTGATATTCCTGTAGAACTCATTGAAAATGTTCTCAGATTTTCTCAATAACAGTTACATTAAATTCAGTTCAGCTCTTAATAAACAAACCAAAGATATCATTATGGGTAACAATATTGTTGTCATTTTGTCCTCTGTTTTTAAGCATTTATTTCAATCATTAGCTCTTACTCATTGGAATTTTGAAAATAATCTTGACCCAGTTTGTTGGTACAGGTATAGTGACGACATTTTCGGTAGATGGAATCATATACTCCCTTCTCTTTTCGAATTTGTTGAATTCTTTAATAATCAACACCCGTAGATAAAGCTCACACTTGCTAATACTGATAATGTCCAGAAGTGTGCACCCTTTCTTGATACTCTAGTCACTAATGAAAACAACACACATATTGCTATCATATATTACAAACCATGCATTAAAACCAATATTCTATGATATAACTCACATCATCCACCAGCTACCAAGTAGGGTGTCATTATTGGTCATCTTAACAGAATTGGAAAAATCTGCAACACTATGGACGGTAAGACATAAGACAGGATGAAACTTCAAAAGCTACTGTTGTTCAATGGTTATTCGTATAGTCACATTGTTAGGATGTTCCAGTTTTAATCACAATATTTTAATAAGTGAGAGCAACAGAAAAAGAAAACACCAGATCAAAACATTGTTCCATGGATTATGCCCTTTATGGATAAACCTTTAACTACTCATCTTCATCAACATTGGTAGATCTGGTTTGAATATCCACATCATACAAAACCCGGTAAAAACTGAAAAATGTACTTAATCGTTTAATCTTCAATAACAACAATCCATACCAATCCAAAAACTGCTTTGCTAAGATCAATGGCTTAGAGATATCCTGCACATTTAGGAACATCTTCCATGAAATGACATATACACAGTGTTTAGCTACATACATAGATGAATTCACTCATCCAATATATAATTGTTTGAAAGAATACATTCGTGCTACTGCATATCTTGACAACAAAGAAGCCACAGCTGGAATTTCATCAGCGCACACGTCATAATTAACGAAATACCTCATTGGATCAAAGTTTTAGAGATTTGTGACAACTTTCTTGGCAGAAAATTTAAGGAATCACTTTTGATTCAATCCAACTGCCCTTTCGTTAAAAGATATAATACCTGGTTTCTTTGAAACTATCATTATTTCAGATAATATTTTTTATCTTTATCTATTTAATTGTTTTTTTTAAATTTAATTTTGTTTGTTTGGAATTAAGCAAAAATCTACACAATGGGCTATCTGTACTCTGCCCTCCACGGCTATCGAAACCCAGATTCTAGCGTTGTAAGTCCGCAGATGTACCGCTGCGCCACTAGGGGGCAAATTTAACTATACGATCAGCGACTCTAATTTCTTCAAAACCACTTTTAGTATGTTCCACCATGCACCTTCCTATTATATTGACGTAGTTTTATATTCTTTTTAGTTACTATATTTTAAAATCAATTTTGTAACCTGTGACTTCATAAACCTTTGAAAAAGGCGTAAGCCGAAACATCGGGTATAATAAGCAAAAAACAACAATATTTATCTCAATTGTGTTGTCTTTATTGAAAATGGTTTTCATCCTTCAGTCAGTACTGAAAACTAAAAGATAAAAAAATAACAATTAACAAATCTCTATACAAAGCAACCCCAACAGCTCAGCGGTAAGCCTGTGGGTTTGTACTGCTAAAAATTAGATTTAGATACTGTGAATCTGAGAGTTTATGGTTCGCATTTCTTTGCCAACTACTTTGCTCTGGATTTTGGATCAATCAAGAGTTAGTAGCAGGTGCTGTTGTTTACCCGCCTTTATTAAATTCATCAGTTCAAAAGTAGAAATGGCTATCCGTAAACAGCTTTTGTGTAACTTTGAGAGGAAGTCTGGAAAATATAGCCCTTCAGGCATATTAATTAATAATGTTTGTTTGTAATTAAGCATAAAGCTATACAATGAGCTATCTATGCTCTGCCCACCACGGGTATCGAAACCCGGATTCTAGCGTTGTAAGTCCGCAGACATCCCGCTGTGCCACTGGGGGCATTAAGTAATATTAATAATATCAAAAAGTAATAATAATATCAGTAAACGATATTTTACTATAACACATAAAACTTTGCTATTTATTTGTGGAACTATAATAAAAGGGAATTCATATTTTAGTTCTTTCAATAGATAATTAATTAATTAAAATAAAATAAATGAATTATTATTTTGAGATAAAAACATAAATTATAAAATAAAAATCTTGTGTTTGAAATGTTCATTAAAACGCTTTTGTAACAGAAAATATATAATGGTTCATTAGAGTTACTTTAATTATAAATTAGAATAAAACTCAAATACAGATTATATTTTGGTTGACACAACTATAGTATGACTGTTATAGCATCGTTATTCGGTATTGGTCTGGTTTCGTATGAGGAAGTACAATGTGGTTATGACGTTTGCTTATAAACAAATTGTGAATAATACCGTGATTTTGAAAAGCACGTGACTGTTAACGAATTTACGTGACAAAGTAACTTGTTTGAATTTGATAACTTAAACATGGGAAATTCGCTAAGTTATATTTTGGACAACAGTTCACGTTGGATGGGCTTGAAATTGAATCAACGTTGGAAGAGAAAACGGGTGGAGTCTTCCAGTAGTTTGTCAGATTCAGACGATGAATATGATAAAACCATGCACACGCCCAAAAGGTGAGATACATTTTGTATTTATTCTTGGCTTCGATAGTGTAACTAGTCTGTGGTTCGGTATTCAGAAAAAATGAAAGTGAAGAAAGTAACCCCCAGTGTCTTTACCATTTATTATTGGAATCAACATTTACATTTTTACAGTAACACTACAGACCATAGTACAGTGGTCATAGCTCGATTATAGCCGGCACGTTTCACCTATTTCAAAGTATTTGGGACTTGAGGTTAAGCAAAAATTCTTTGATTATATAGAGGGTTGAGTACGTTTTATTCAAACAATTTTGAATGTACAAATTAGTAAGTCACATGACAACCACAGATATAAAGTCACGATGTATCAGGACGACATGATTTTGACATTGTTTGGCATTTCGATGCCACTAAAATTGATTACTTTGGGGAATGGTATGTAACAGGCCATTCCGTGACACATTTTTCTTAAACGGTATCATAAAGATGTGTTAAGATTGGGTGTCATTGAAAAAATACACAAGTTTTTTTCCATGACATATCCTTTCAACTACTGCCTACCTCAGTTAGCTGGATAGTGAAACAGGTATTCGTAATTCATGCTATTTCCATACAAAAATGCTGTGCATATGGATTTCTTTGTAACCTGGCTGTTCTAACAGTCACTAGAAAAGCATCATTTTTGTACATTACATGGATTTTTGAAAGTGAGCAGGAAGGAATGGTGGGCTTAGGACATGACAGTCTTACAACAAAGCCTTTTGCAGGTGCATGGTTGCCAGATAAGGTACGTTCTGACAGGGAAATATGGACTGTAACTACTTGGTGATGCTTCAAAATCATTTTAAAGAAATGTATTCAAAATCAGCATACATTTTCAAAACAAGTCTTTGTAAATCATGCCAAAATTATCAAATTTTGAAATAGAAAAAGATTGTTTTTTTTAATGTTAAGTTAATCTTTGTCATGTTGCTGCTTAAACATATAAGTGGTTGGAGTTTGCTTATCTCATGGCATTCAGACCCAATTTCATGTAAACACTCATTGCAATTTAAAGGATGGTGGGTGTGGTTTTTGCTTTAGCTATTTACATACCTGCATCAAATAAATTTCTGTATATAGACTTCTGACAACATAAGTAATTACAATTGACTTGAGGGTTGGGCTATAATTTCATATTCAAGAAGTGGTCTATTTAAAAACAAAAACAATAATGACATTTAAAACATAGCTAAAAGAAACATTTAAGCAGTTAGAAAGAAGTTTGATATAAAAGCTCCTGAATTATTATGTGCAAATATATAAAAACTTCAAGTTATTCTTAACTTAGGTAAGCAATGAAGTGCAAAGTTCTGAAATAATCTGAGATTTAGCAGTGTTAATACTTTTATATTATTCTCATGCTGAAGTTTTAGCACATTTGTTAAGGCCACCCATAATTTTTGACTTAAATATTGAAAAAATCCAACATTTCACAGTCAAGAAGAGAAGTCTCTTTAAAGCACTTTCTCAACATCCAGTCCATGGACAAGTGATGGTCCATTAAAATCACCTTGCTAGTCCATGAAATTTCACTGAAATAAAAATTGCCAGAATATTCGTATCTAAGCCTTAATGGTTTTTATTATACATGTATTTTAGTGGTCTGAAGCAGTTTAGAAAGGCAGTGAGCTAATCCCTGGAATTTAAAAGGTTGAGAAGCACATTAAAGTAACTTAAGCCCCAAAGTTTAGTTGAAAGGGCATTTCCTGGGCTTGGAAAGGATATCTTTAAAACGTAATATGACAAATCAATAACCAGTAGTGGTTGTACTGTACTTGAGAGTCACATGCTTTGGCACATGACCTAGTATCATTTATAAATTTTTAGTATAAGAATATTAGCTTTAATTGTACTAGTGTGCATTATATTAGGCACCACAAGTATTTAATTTGTAGAATGTTCTACAGAAAACTGAAACTTGTGTTCCTTTTTTTTTAAGTTGCATTTGATAAACTTATAGGTAAAAGTAGTTGTAATGTTTTTGCATTAAGTTTGGAGAGTTGAATATAATTTGCAGAGTTTAATGGCATTTTACTTTTGTCTTATTATTTATATTATATCCATGTAATTAGATTATGGCTTTGCATATTTGTTCTTGGTATAACATAATCTATGGGTTACAAAGGACCATTTGATCCTTAAAGGCTATTCTTACACACCAACTCTTGGAAAAGATAAAAATTTAAAACCCACCTTTAACTTTCAGGAAGTCATTGATTCCCTCTTTTCAACTGCTGTCAAGTACTGGCCTCCATTAATGCCAACAGCAGCTTATTCCATAATTTAGTTACCTTGTTAGAAGAATAAAATTATCTTAACTGGAGAGTAACCTGTCTTTTCTGTGTCTTAAACTTGTTTCCTCATGTTGTATTATCTTTGAAATTTAGCACAAGAAAATAAGAGGCCTTTATCCTGTCAATCCCTCTGGATAATTTTGTAAACTTTAATCACCTCATAACCGTTTCTCAAAAGAAAATGTCTTAACCTATCCCTATATATATAGTAGCCCTCCTGTGAATCATTTCTGATACTTCAATATCCTTTGTTAGACGAAAACTGTACACAGTATTCCAAGTAAGGCCTAACGAGTAATTTACATAAAGAGATAATTACATCTTTTTCTTTGACTTATCAATGTGTCTATGAATACAATGTAAAATTCTATTAACAGTACTGCTGCTTCAATGCCTTGAGTGACGTATTCATCACTATACCAAAAATATTTTTTTCGGTCATGTTATTGAGTTGGTTCCCAGCTCTATTGAATGTATGATTTAAATTACAATAACACATATGAATTACCTTACACTTACTAGAATTAAAGGCCATGTGCCAAATATTTGTCCAACCTACCAATTGGTTTGAGGCATTCTTTGATACCATGAAATTGAATTAACTTTACTCAAGATAAGTTTGCTAGATAACAGGAGATTCAATCAAGATATTGGTTGCAGAATAATACATCATCCCTCACTGATGAAGCTGATGTAAAATGAAATAAAGAGATTAAACAAAAAGTGTAAAAGAAAGTGCACAATTTTTATTTTTATAATGAAGTATAAACATCACGTGTGTACTTGCTGTTTACTTACATGAAACAGTCACTTTTACTGGCTCTTCTCTGTACAAGTTTAAACCATGCACTGGATTGTTTAAATATAACATTCTTTAGTTTGTGAGAAACCTTATAGTTATCCATGTGACTGGTCATTCTTGTTACAACACAGGTGGGGCCATAACCCATTGAAGGATACTGTTGTAGACATTCTTATACAATATGTCGTATTAAGTAATGTTTTCCCAAAGTGGTAACAGGCATTATCCAACAAAGTAACAAAATTAGCTTTAAACAAGATCACCTTAATGGTTTTCTCAACCATGTGTTATGTGAAATCTGCACATGTTTAAAACAAAGAATGAATTGAGAATATGTGTTATAGTACTGCAAGAAGATAGAAACCTATGGCATATTAATATACCTCAATCCCTCATCATGCTCATCCCAGCTAGAAATACCCAAGAGTTTTATGTCATCAGCAAACTTTGCTAATTTAGTATTTATGCCATGATCAATATCAATAATATAAATAAGAAACAGCAAAAGTACAAGCATCAGCCTCTGAGGTACTTCATGAGTAATAAGGGTCTGTTTTGTCTGGACTTCATTAATAACAATCTTTTGCTTTCTCCTACTCAACAGATGTGATTTTCTTATCTAATCTTTTATGTTGTACTATATCACAAATGTTTAGAACATTTAATTACACTAAGTGTACACCCTTTCCCTTATCCAGGTAAGTAACATCTTCACAAAAAGGTAACAGATTCCTAAGGCAAGGTTTTCCCTTTGGTAAATCCATGTTGACTTTCATTTTTAATATATTTCATTCAATGATTTTGTAAAATTTGTTTTATTAGATCTCTAGAATTGTTCTTACTACAAAAGAAGAATAACTTGTCTATAATTTCCAGGACAGTACTTAGTACCCTCTTTAAAAATAGGAGTAACATAAGCAACTCTCCAATCCTCAGGCACATTTCTATTTTTTATTGTACTACCAAAAATGAAAGAGAAAGAGACTCAAATATTTGATTTTTGGCCTTCTTTAAAACATTGCTGAAAATCTTGTTTGGCTCTAGAATACTGTTTAATTTTTCTGGGAACATTTTAATAAGTAAGATAATTATATCTGTTATCAAATTTCTTGTATTTTGTTTGCCATAATTAGTTGTATGTAAAAATAAAGAAATATATTATAGACTATATATAATATAGTCTGCCCAAACTTTTGTAATATTCATAAAACCTTACATATGTAACCATCAGAGGCATTATCTAATGCAACTTATTTAAATATTAATTTATTCGTATGACATAATGAAACTGATACCATTTTTAATTATTTCTATATTGTCAAGTTATAAAACTGCCAATTTTAAGATGCAAGATTATACATGTAGGGCATAGCAATTTGACACATGAAATTAAAAATCTGAATTTGTGTGTTGTTTATGCACATAAGAAGAAAAAGCAAGATGACATAAGGCCATTATGTATTATTCCTTATTCCTTATTCCTTACATACCAAAACATTAAAGTTTTTTAAATGTAGTTATTCATAAACATATACTTAATCAACAAAATTTAAAATAATTCAAAACTCAAGCAGGCACTACATCATTAGTAAAAACATTCATAAATTTACAAAGCTGAAATGATAATAATTTTTCTTGAAATACAACTCTGGATATGGGCTGCCAATATTTATACCTATTATCCCCAGTTTTCAAGTTTGTATTTTTTAACCTTTTCATTCCACCAGTTATATGGTAACAGGATACAGAAATATTTTAGTAGTCAGAGTTTAAGACATCAGTTAGAAGCAGAATTGCTATTTACCAAATATCAAATTCTGCAAGTAACCTTTGATTGTATTAGTTTTACTAAAATGTCAAACTCGTCTTGTAGGTGAGGATCTGTAAGAACT